ACAACACAAACACTTCACTCAGCACTTTGAGACTTGGTTCTAACAATCTCTCCTGGATCCTCTGTTAGATTAAAGTTAATAGATGCTCTCAGAAGGCTTGGAATCCTGTGTGGGGTTATGCATTATTTTTGTAATGAGAGGTCGATATTAAATTATGAGTTTCATTGATTATGATTTTAGATTAGACATTGATCACATTGTGGGCTGGATGCACAGGATGTAGACTTGCACTTCAGCAACTCTGTGCATTCCTAAATCTAATTGCAATATACCCGGTAGATATTTGAGAATGGATTACAAAAAGTTTACATCTCGCCACTTACATTGAAGTGTTTCACTGGTCACTTTTTTGCTGATATTGTATTGGTAGTTGCTTAACCCATTAGCTGTGCCATTTGGGAAATCAAGGGTACCCCATAAATGCCAAAAAGCAAGAAACTCTGACAAATGGAAAAAAAAAAATAAGATTTTCATGAAATAGAAGATATAAAATTTAAAGCCATAAAACCATATTAAAACTTTTTACTCATAATGGCTGACAAGTTAGGAGTATGAAGTGAGGCAGAGAGTAACTGCTGAGCCCTAGTTGTTGTTGATGCAAGAGGTGATTGTAATGACAAACAGCATGGTTGTGGTGGTGCAAAGTGGTGGCAAGCCCTTTCATAGGTGGTGAGTCAGGCTGTGGCATTGTAGGTGTGGATGAGGGGTCATTGAGGACAGGAGGAGGGTGCGAGGTGTAAATAATTCAAAATTATTCAAAGATGATGATGATAGCAAGTTGATTTGAGGTTCCACAGCCTTGTGTCTCACTCTAGAGTGTCTACCAATTATCGACTTTCCATTCTTAGTCTGATTTTTGGCAAACAACTTTAAATTCAAGGCACCAAAAATGCCACTTGTCTTAAGATGACAATAGCACAATTTTGGTAAGTCAACGGAAGATAATGATCGTAGTAAATTAATTAAAATAAGTTTTGTGTCTTCAGTTTTACTCTTCTCATTTCTTTTGTACCTTTGAAGGTCTTCAGTATGGCAATGCCTTTTATGTACAACCTCCACAGGGTATAATTTGCCTGGTATATAGTGTATTCACATACCAAAGTGTATGCTTTGTGTAACTCCTTTCTAAAAATTTAAATTTTATTCAGTTCATCCTTGACCCTATCTCAGTTCAATCCTCTGCTTTCTTCTGCAAGTAGAGGATGCCTTATGGCAAGAATACAACCATTGCCTGTCTTCTAGAACAGGGGTTTTCAAACTATGGGTCCCGACCCTTCAGTGGGTCGCGAAATAAATAAATTGGGTCGCAAAATAAAAATGGGTCGCGAAAATAAATAAGAAAAAATAAATAAAATGGGTCGCGAAAATAAATAAGAAAATGAAAATAAATGCACCATAATTTAGGCTTGGTTATTGTAATGTACACTCCACAGTCTAGGAAGCGACTGCAAGGAGAGCATTTCCTGATTCTTTCTTTACCTCTCATGTCATCCGTTTTGCGCAGAAAAACTCGTAATCGTAGTTTTTTCCCCCGTAATCATGAGAAATTTACATGAATTTTGTTGATGCTAAATAAAGGAAAATTGTGAACAGTGTTTGTCTTTGATTTACTCATTTCATATCATTACACTTAGGTTTAATGGGTCGCAATTCAAATTGTTGTTCTGGCTGTGGGTCGCAGTAAAAAAAGTTTGAAAAACACTGTTCTAGAACACTATGTGAAAAAGGCACTGCTTCTGTTAGAAATCGTGATATACCATATCTGCTTTTCAGTTATTCACCATGTTTGATGTATGTACATATCAAACAGTTTGTGCATCAGTTTTATTGTCATTGCCCTGTTTTCAATACAATACAATAAATTAAATTGTGGCTATTTCATACGAGTCATTTATACTTTCAGTTATGACATAGCTAGATGCTTGTGATTGATTAGATGTTTTGGTATTATTTAAGCTCTCTTATGACCAGCTTTTTAATCCCTATTCTGATTAGGTAAGTTTTCTCTTTAAGCTCCTGGAGAAACTATATTAATTTCATTGCTATATATAGTATCTGAGTTGACATAGGTATGGCTAATGATTTTCACTTTGAATTGCAATTCCACAGCAGAGTTTTGTAGCAGGAAGTTTTCATCTGAGTTATCATCCTATTTGACCTTCAAATTTATGGCTTTAAAGACTGTGGCTTTAACTTAGATGTGGCAATGCCCAGGGCAAATGGTACAAGTAACTGTCTGGTTGTGGACAGAGGCTAATTATCAGTTCTTGTGAATGTTTTTGTCTATCCTGCTTTCAATAGAAAGCTCAATCTTACATTCATTTTCTCAATTTTTAAGAATTCGTGAACTTCTTCTAAAGTCCTTGTGAACAATATGAATTAGCTGGTCCAACTGAATGATCCATTTGTTCATACTTACAATTTTGAAGGCTTGACTTGCCAGACCACCCGCCTCATATATTGCTACTTGTAATGAAACTATGAAAGTTATGGACAAATCATTACATTACTCTAATGTGGCTTATAAATAAATGAAATATAATACAAAACTATGAAATAAGAAAAAATGAAGAGCATGAGTGTGTATATGTGGGCAGTGAATGTGTGTGGAGGCGGTTGGTTATGGGTTATAACTGCATAGCGATGCTCCTTCCTGATGTGACGTCATGGCATACTCACAGCCAGTGCGGCAACCACATGTCTATGAGGCAGCTGGGTGACTGCTTGAACTGTGCAATGTAGCCGAGAGGATGGTTTGAGTATGAAAGGAACTATTTTTTGTACATAAAATATATTTTATATTTTATATGTTATATTTTATGATATGCTATGTATTGATTTTATTGTTTATCATAGCAATAAATATAGTAACTCTTCCCCGTTTCTTGTTGTAATAAAACATATGAAATTAGCTGATTTTGGAAGAAGTTTTATTATTATTATTTCATTTTGGTGCCGGTTAGTTGAATCTGCTGGTTGCACAAATTCTGGATAACCGGGATTCTACTGTATATTACATAAACAGCTCCTTGCCTGGCTGGCTGGCTGGCTGCTCAGCTGTTCATATATGTAAACATCACCAGCAACTTAATACGACACAATAACTCATCTGGGTATAGTGGAGATTTTTTTTTTTTTTTTTAGATTGATTATTTACGATAATGTTTTATTAAGCCGGCACTAAATGAACTTACATAATTTTGGAATTATGGTGAATTTACATAGTGTCGTTTTAATGGTGTCGGGCTGATGGAAGTCTTCCATAGGGGAACTTTTACCGAGTCACTCCACCCTCAACTGCCATACCTACCTACTGGACTTCCCTACACATAATAACCTTTCCTCTCATTATTTTTCTTATTTTATAGTTTTATATTATGTTTTCTTTATTTTTGTCACATTAGAGCATTGTTTTTTGGTTGAAATTGGGGGGGAAATGGGTGACTTTGGCACAAGCGCCAGAACAATGCAGCAGTTCCAAGCAGGGTTCCCAGCAATCGCAAAACTCGTGAAGCTACTGTACAGTATTTCTTTATTCATAAGGCACACTAGAATATTGAGATGAATTTTTCTGCAAATTCTGTGGTTACATTACTTACGTATAACAATGGCATAGCCTGCCTGATGCATTTTGGCGTGGTAGAAAATTTACACTTGTAGGGCACTTTTATGACTTATTATAGTTATTTTTACATTTTATTTGATGTTTTTAACACTAATTATGCATCATATTTCGATACACACAGACTTGGTATAAATCAGTGGATGATGCAGATGACATACTGTACAGTATATGTGACACAAATGAAGTACAGTACTTTACGTGTATATGTGAAATGATGTATATATCGGTACAACATATAAAGAGGATCCCCTGTATACCATACCTTTGGAAACACAAGATTGCCCAGTTATTTAAAGGATGAGAAAATGTACAGGGTCTTGCTTTCAGAATTGTTTCTTTTTGCTACATGTTCTTTGTTATGGTTTGACTTCCTTTGGTAAATTTACTTTTTACAAATGGTATAAATGTGTTGTCATTCTGTTCACAAATAAGGATGTGAACTTAATGTATCAGCTCAGGGTCTCTATATTAGTTTAGCACAAGATACAGGTCATCACTGTCTTCATATTGCAAGGTAAGGCATTTTTTTTTATAAGCTATTGTAGATAATTATGTCTGGGGTCTTATCATGGTGCAAAACTGATTTCTGTCTTTGTTAGGTGTGTTCCATATATTTAATACAGTAATTAATTTTACTCTTTGTTTTATCTTGAATTCCTTACTACTGGTAATCATTCATCTTTGTCATCTCGACTCTAATGTCGTTTCTTACAACTTCTCCCCATGTCATTCTTGGTCTGCCACTGACTGTCCTCCCCTCCACATTACTCATGCACCTCTTGACCAAAATTGATCTCATCCATTCTCTCCACATACCCAGACCATCTCAGCCTTCCTTTATATAGGACCTTTCCAATACTCTCAACACCCAGCTGCCCTCTTAGCTCTGAACAGGGCTTCCTGTTTATCAGTGTCGCATTGCAGATACATCTCCCCATTCTTATCTCAGCTCGTTCAAGCCTGCTTATGTCATCCTCTTTAACTGCCCATGTTTCACTGCCATACAATTTTACAATTCTCATGCCAGTCCCATACATTCTTCATTTCAAGTGGAGGAAGGGTCCTCTTGCAGCTAATAAAGACAGCAACTCTATACAGCCCCCAGTCACTTCTGATTCTATTCTATCCTTCCATTACTTAAATTTCTCCACTGCCTCTCCAATGCTATCTGCTACAGTAAAACTCTTTGTCACGTTTGGTATGTGTATACCGTACTAATTTTCTGGGATGTGAGAAAAGATAACATGTAGTAGTACTTCATATTTGATTCACCATATCGATTTTATAATGATTGTATAAAATAAGCATGGCAGTTTTATATGCCGAGTTGATGTTACTTTTGAAATTCTCAAGGTTCCATGCTAATGGTTCTTAGGTTGAGGGCTTCATGAAGGTTGCAGAGGATCAAGCTAAAGCCTATGTCAGCAACCATATTATCATGACAATGGGTATGGACTTTCATTATCTTAATGCCCATGCTTGGTACAAGAATTTGGACAAGCTGATCAGGTGAGGAGAAGCTTAATAAAATTTCTGATGTGAGATTTAAGTAATGATAGTTGGGTCAGTGATGCACAATTTAATATTCAAGATTTAGTAGAATTTTGTAAATGGATGAAATTATGCTTGGTGAAGATTTTCCTTTAAGCTTCTTAAGTGAGGTGATTTTTAAGGGGGTTTTAGGACATTATTTTTTGGGGGAAAATTCCTTCAGTCATATTATTGTACTTGCATATCAGGTGTTGAAATTATTGAGATGCAGAAATCAGATACTGATATTCCTCTATTTTCAAAAAGAGAAGCATTCCTATAAAAAATTATATATACCAAAATTTTAAAGATTATGAAGGTTTTTCCCATTAATTTAAAGGGAAAAATTAGAGATGTTATCTGAGTATCTTCCCAACCCTTTTCCTTGCCAAAACTTATATGAATTTTATTACAAGAAATAGAGTAATAATAAAGGTAAAAAGATATTGAGTACTATATTGAGTAAAATTAATGGAATTATGATAAAATAATTCAGTTCAAAGAAAAAATAATGTGCTGGATGGTAAACTATTAGTGTACCTGTATTTACCTTACATAATCTCTTGTACTGCTGTATGCTAATGTTTAAGGCAAAAAAAATCTCTGGTAATTAATACAGTAGTGTGTAGATAAATATTTAAGTACAGTATGCCCGGATAATTTGTGGATTTTTATTTTGTGGTTCTCTATTATTTGTGGATGACAGCCTGGATGTACCCAAGAATGTCTGCTGGTAGTTTTAAAGTTGCCGGCATTTTCGCGGCCGGGACAGGGAACCATTCGTTCTAGAGACAGTAATTTCCTTTACCTGTATTGTATACAGTATATGTGTGTGTGTAGACACACACACACACATATACTGTACAGTATACTTTGTCCACAAGTATAAATGTTATTCTCGGATTTGGCGATTCGCGGCTATTTTGAGAACCTAATCCCCAAGAATTTGAAGGGCCTACTGTACTGTATCTTAATACTAACAGGTATGTAGTGGGTTTGTATTGAAAATAGTAATTTATAAATTATCTTAATATTTTTGTAATAAAATATGGTGGAGGGGAAAATATTAAGTGTCCATACATAACATAATCTGTGGTGTAGCTGTATGCTTCATACCTGTGTGTGATATTGTAGATGTAAAAATTGCTTGCCTATACTGCATTTTCCTTTTTAATGGGATACCAAAAGTTTGTAAATAGAGAAATACTGTACCTATAGTGTACTTATGTGTTGAATATTTTAATTCTTATTCAGGTGATACTTTATTTTTTATTTGTGGCTAAAATTGGATTTTAGATACTTCTTTAAGATGAGCTTTTTGTGTCTCGTTCATTTTCTTATGAGATAACAATCATGCTGCAGTGTGTTATGTGTGGAACATGTTGTGAACTCTACTCGTATTTTAGTACAGTATACCATCAGTATATTTTTTGCTGGGGTGCAGGGCTGTTTTTACTCTTTTCATTCTTTTACTTGAATTTTCCCTTTGATGTATTCATCATTTTAATTCAATTCATTTTTATGGGAATTAAGTGGCATTAACTTGATAGCTGATTAACCATTGTGTTTATTATGTGGTTGACACAGAAAAAGTCAATGCTTTATATTTCAAGCTCATAGGTTGACATGATATACAGTATTTCCTGGCTTGTTCATTTTGCTATTAAAAGTGTTTGGTACAATTAATCACCCTTTATGTATTTAAAATCATCAGTTAATCCTGGCATGCTGTAATCCTCAGGTATGTCAATGAACGACAGACAAATGGATCAAAGATCAATGTATTTTACTCCACTCCGTCGTGTTATCTGAAGGCTCTACATGATGCTAACATTACATGGCCAACCAAGACTGATGATTTCTTCCCATATGCCTCTGGTAATCACTCCTATTGGACTGGTTACTTCACCTCTAGACCAGCACTTAAAGGCTATGTCAGGAAGACCAACAACTTCTTGCAGGTAACATTACTAAAAAGCTTCATCAGGCAGTTGCATTCAGTAATTGAGAAACTTAAGTGGAAAATTAATGTTTCCACAAACAAGTACTACTACTACAACTACTACTAATAATAATACTTTTTTTTTACGTTTCCTCCAGCTTCCCCCAAAGGCCACACCTTCGCTGCCATTTTATTGCCTTAAAATTAAATATCCTAATGCAAAAGTAACTTCCCTAGCTATGTTGAGTTAGTTAAGCTACAAATCTATGCAGCATTCAGTAACTATTGCCTCATAGTCAATATCTGCGACTGTTGTTGGCTTTGGGGCTGAAGATCTCATTCCCCTCAGGCAAAGCAATGCAGACCTAAGCAGAGAGAAAGACAGTCGACATCTCAACCAGGTTGCAACGTGGCTTCTGGGCTGCTGCTTCTGTTCAGACAACACCTCCACCCGTCTTGCGTACAAGCCTCTTGCACTTTGTCCCATCCCGCCAAAGGTTGTGAACACCAGAGAAGTGAAGGTGCCATGATCCACATTCTGAATTCTCTCGCCATATGCTTTAATCTTGTCGTTCTCGTTCCTTTTGTGTGTAGCCTCAAGAGACAAGTTACGGTGATATGTGGTCGAATATCCTGACATCAAACAAGGCTCGCTCTCCCATTGTCCAGAATCCTTGAACACTGATGTCCACACGGGCTTCATTAGATGCGTTGGAAGTCCTGTGATGGAGGTTCTCATCATCCAATGGAAGGAGGGTCATTTCCACCGTGGCATCGTGGCAGATTTCTTTCAGTAAATTTACTGAAGCTCCCTTGTGTGGTCAATGTCATAGGATGAGGCACACACCCATTGGGAGGACCAACCTTCTACTAGCCAAACATACCTTAGAGCAATGGCATCTGTGAATTCTTGTTTATTAAGGCTGAAACCTTTTGCCCTTATCGGTAACGTTGTTAGCCAGTTCAAGGCACCAACCTCCTGCGCTAAAGCTACTTTTTTTTTCCAATTTCTCTGGCAATTTCAGCACCAGTTGTTGCAGTTTATCACTTTGGGTGTGCTGTCGTTCTGTCGTAATGGACCATCGAATCTTGTTTAATTCATTGGTATCCACTGCACTTGTTGCATTCTGAGCTATTATGTGCTCAGTGAGGGCTGCCATGAGCTTGACTGAGTTCTGAACTTCTGATGTTCGGTGGCAGCAAGCTCCTCTGAATTGGTCATTTCTATTCCTCCCAGTCTCGGTGGTAATGCAAGGAGTTTCTCTGGTGGGGTTACTTGAAAGTGTTTCACTAATTTGGGAGTAAAAATCACTCTGATGGCTTCTTCCAGAGGGTTGAGGAGGTGTCCGTTGTAATTCCAGCGATGCTTGACTCCATGGGTGAGTGCTGCAAAAGCCGCATGTGGCTACGTTTTAGCGATATCAAACAGAGCTTGGATTTCCTTCACCCATTCATTCACCTTTCCTGTTACGTACTCGGTCTTGAAATTTTGGCTGTCCTTAGTTATTTTGACCTCACTTCCCATTGAACACCTGCTTTGCCCATTCATAGTGTGCTGGTTTCACAATGAGGAAGGACTTGCTGGCATTTGGATAGTACCCTATTTGTGGACCACGTGATGTTACCAGGTCCCACCACTTTTTGATGTCCTCCACATTTTTCTGCTCCTATAAGGTCATCAGCGTATGCCACTTGTTTGACCTTGGTTGTTTCATAGTTTGTGTGTTGTAGCACGGATAGACCTATTGCATACATTGCCATGAGGGGGAAGCGGCACAGTCACATTCCAATGGACCCTACCCCCTCTTCCTCCCTACCTCACAGCATTCGTTATACGTAAACTTCTAATTGTGTTAGAGATGAATTTGATACCATAATGATCCTGAATAAATTCTCTATGAGATGTTTCCAATATGATGCACTTAAAGAAAATATTTTGATATGATATGATGATACCAGAGTCAATAAAATCAGTTATAATTTAGTTAGACACCATTTTTTATCACAATAATCCTTATTACTTAATCTAAAAGCTTGGTTAAATAAATACCATATACATAGTACTATACTGTATTGTATATGAAGGGTACATGTATTAATAAACACAGATTATTACAGTAACTAAATGATAAAAAACAAATAAATAATAATGTATCATGAATGAGGCAGTACAGTATGTGCTGTAGTTGGTGATAAATGCTCTATAATCCCCCACAGCTTCTCCATCCCTCTCTTGAAGTTGACTGGTCTCTCGATAGAGGGATTGATGTCGAAAAATTAGTCCGCGGTTAATCTACAAGACAACAATCCCCTATTGAGGTTTGTGACGGTTAAGATGGGCACCTCCTCCACTACACCTTCTTCTTCCTCCTCATCCTCAAGACGCTGCTTCTCGACAAGCTTGGCCAGCTCTTCCTCAGTCAGCTCTTTCCCAGCATGACCCAGGAGCCCCTCTTGCACCTTTTCCTCCTGAAGGTCATTGAACCCCTCACCTCCCACTTGACGGGCAAGCTGGACGATGTGCTGCACATCCTGGTCGACTGTGGGAAAGCCAGCAAAGTTGTTCGCCACCTTTGGCCACAAGGCCCTCCAGCAGGAGTTAACACAGAGGGCTGTCAGGTCATCATGGCACTGCTTGATGAAGGAGATCCAGTCTGCGATGGAGAACTTCTTCCACATTCCCCACACTGACTCAGCACCATCCTGTTTGTTGTCGTCCAAGGCCTGCCATATCCTGCTGAAGGTGTGGGCCATGTACTTGGCCTTGAAGACAGTGATAACTCCCTGGTGGTGTGGTTGGACCAATGATGTTGTGTTCTTGGGCAGAAAGATCACCTCAACATTTTTGTTTACAACCTTGAGAGCCTCAGGGTGGCCAGGGCAGTTGTCAATCACGAGAAGGACCTTAAACTTCAGGCCTTTCTCCTGCAGGTAATCCTTGACCTCCCTCACAAAACAATTGTGAAACCAGTCGGTAAATAACACTGCCGTCATCCAGGCTTTCTTGTTGTGGCGGTAGAAAACTGGGAGGAGGTGCATGTCTTTGTTCTTGAGTGCACACGAACGCTGGGCACGGTACAGCAGCATGGGCTTGATCATGTGTCCTGCAGCGTCGCCACGTAGCAGGAGAGAGACACAATCTTTGGCCACCTTATATCCTGGCTGGCATCTTCTTCCACCACAAGCCAGTTTCGTCATCATTAAAAACCTGCTCCGGCTTGTAGCCTTTCTCCCAGATAATCTCAGCAAAGATTGCAGGATACTCTCTTGCTGCTACATTGTCTGCCGAGGCTGACTCACCAGTGATCCTCAAGTTGTGCAGGTTGTAGCACTTCTTGAAGTTCTCAAACCACCCCTTACTGGCATTAAAACCTTTCTTTGAGTTATCACCAGAACCACCAGCACTAGCATCACCTTCACCACCTTCCTCGGCATGGAATCGGTCATACAGGACCTTGGCTTTGTCACAGATAATTTTCTGGCTGAGGGGGATGTGGTACCAGTCAAAGCCCTCAATCTTCACCATAGCTGTATCCCTCACATTAGCAGCTACCTTGGTAGAAGAGGGGGCACTTCGGGCAAAGGCATTATGAATCTACCTTTTTTTTCTTGATGTAGCGGACAGTTGATTCATTGATGCCATACTCCCAGCCACACGCGGCAAAGCTTTGGCCACTCCTTAGTTTGTCCAGCAGTTGTATCTTCTCCGCGAGGATCATGACCTTCTTTTCCCTCTTCACTTGTTTGAGCGTCTTCCCGCAGTTGGATGAAGGTGGTTGAGGGCGGTTGGGAGCCATCACAAGCACGAGAAGCACAGTTGTTATGAGAGCAGAGTAGCTCACGCGGGAGATGGACGAGTGTTTATCCCGGACTAGGGTGGAGCCAGCCTCCCGGGACAAGAGAGACACTTTGCGGGATGCCACAAAACTGTGAAAATGCTGGCAACTTTAAAACTACCTGCAGACATTCTTGGGTACATCTAGGATGTCACCTGCGAATAATCGAGGGCCACAACTTATAAGGGCATACTGTATATAAATACAGTATAGTCTGGGTTTACGTGGTTAATTAAATCCATGAAGGTCCGCGTATAAAGCGAAACGCATAAATAAAATAACAACATATGGGATTAATTGAAATAGAGACGGGGCCGACCGCCAGACTACCCGTTTTTTTGGCTATCGCTGACACAATACGTACATTGTAGTAAAAATAACATCTTAATTTTATGATGGTATGCACACACAATTAATATATAAGAGATATATCAATAATATTAGGGTTTTTTAACACTTACGTTAGTAGAAGAGATGGCTGGGTACACGGGGATGGGGGGTTGGTTCCGAGGCAGAGGGCAGATTATTGGCCCTCACCTGTATCTCTATCCACCACAGAGACTAGCAGGGCCTCTTTGTCAAACCCCTTGAAGTCCATATCCTCACTATCACTGACTTGGGCTGGCTGTGGTGGTTGGCGGGTGAAGAACTCTGTGATGCTTTGTTGACGGCTAGCATTGATGTGGTCGTGATACAGCTAAACATAGGGCTCCAGGGATTGTAACAGAAGGTTATTAGACACTTCGTAGCAATGATTGCCTGTGTCTTTGGCAAGGATGAACTTCAATCTCTCAGCTACCTCGATGATTTCCTTCACATCAGCATGTGTAGTTTCTGCTCTTGTTCTTCTGTAACACCTCGCTGATCACTGACGTCATCATCTTCCAACATCTCGTCTGCAGTCACCTCAGGTTGCCTGATTACCTCCAGGATGTCATCGTTGGTGGTCTCGGGGAAGCCTGCAGCTCTAACACTTTGTGCAGCCTCTCTTGCATTCTCCAATGCCACAGCAACAGACTGAGCCTCGCCAGCCACCGCTTGCCTCTGCCTCCCACCTGGGATACCTCATAGCTTAAGGCGCGTCGCACCTTCTTGGGCTTGGAGCGGCTTAGGCCAGGTAGTTCAGGGTTTCTCAGGGGTGGTGGGGGACCAGCGGAAGCCATTGTGTAGAAAGAAAAAACATAATCGGTTCCTGGGCATGAGTGAGTATACGTGGGGACAGTAAGACTGGCGCGGCCGGGGTCATGAGCGCTGGTGGCAGGGCGAGCAAGGTTAAATAGACCAATCACAGCGAGCGGCGGAGGGGGTGCGTGGGTGGTAAGGATATGTGGCCCAATCACAGTCCGCGACGTCATCGGCACGAGTCTGACGTCAGCGCCCAGCACCTTGCCTGCCGCTTGGCGCGTCTATGTTGGCATTTACCGCGTAAATAATAATTATCGGGTCTGGACAGGTGCCGCGTAAATGGCCGTCCGCGTATAAAATATCCGCGTAAACCGAGACTATACTGTATATTGATTGATTGATAAATGTTGCACATTTGGAAGGATATATCTAATCTACAAGGGTACTATTCAATTGAAATTCATTGTACAGAACTTCTACCTACCAAAAAATTAAATAAAAAATCCACGGACTAGCATTCTGTGGAACTCCCTATCTCTGTTTTTCTTATAGCATATAACCTCAGTTCAAATCATCCTGCTTCAAATATCTTAATAGTATTTGATAAGGGGATGCTTTGGTGAATAGACGTGACAGTTATACTTGTCTAGTCTCTTTCTACACTTGTTATCCCTTTAATAATGAATAGGATAAATAAATGTCAGTAAGAAAATAATGCTGACTTGACTCAAAATGTGCTGTAAATGAAGAAGTGGTAGCCTTGTATAGATGTCTACGTTGGGTTTTATATCATGACAGTAAAATCTTACCATGTTTATGATAATGTACTCTGTGCAGTATAGTACTTACTATATGAATTACATGTAATGGGGATGCAAATTAGTGATGCTGGGATGTTCTGTTAAAGTGATGTTAAATGTAAATATGAAATTTGAGTTAGGAAATATGTTGTTTTGGAGAAACTTCCATCTAATAATATCCCATAATTATTCACCTATTTGATGCAAATCAAATTTGAATAAATTAAATACAGAGTGTTATGATAAATACCTGTCATAGCTTGTTATAACCCCAGGCTGTAAAACAAGTCTCAGCGATGCTGGGACTAGGTCAGGACCCTCGGCTGGAACGATTGAAGGAGGCAATGGGAGTTTTGCAACATCATGATGCTGTTTCAGGCACTGCGAAGCAACATGTCACTAACGATTATGCAGAGAGGCTAGCTCAAGGGGTTGCTGAATCCTTTGAGTTGGTAGCAGAAGCTTATAGGTGAGTAGAGAAGTGAATTAGTAAACAATTAATAAGTGGAAGAAGTTTTCAAGCAGTGGATGCAGCTGTAGGAAGTAAGAGGGAGGCATATTGTGCTCCTCTCATTTATTGTTGTTGTCCTCAACTATTCTTGTACATGTATTAATTTTTTTTTTGTACATACTCATGCACTTATCTATATTAATGGCATAAAACCTAGGTGATTTGGAGGCTAAGTCTATTGTCTGTTCACTGTGCACAGCTGCAGTTTTGAAGAAAGAGAGCAGAAATTTAGCATGGTGATATGCATTAGCCGTAGAAGGTGGAATTTTGGGAAGTTGGCCTTTGTGAGGTGGGGTGCCGGGAGCGATTCAATACGATTACCTATCCTACCTCATCAACACCCCCTACTGACCAGCTAGTCATAGAAATCTCCCACCTGCACTAGCACTTAATAAAAAAATCCTAAGAAACCCAATGATTTCCAACAGCTTAAAGATTTATGAAATGTGGCTGTGAGATATCACAATTGCAGGTGACAACCAGTAAATATTCATAAAACATTAACACTGTATTACTGTTAAAATTAATTATCTTTTCAGTAAACTACAGCCAGATATTTCAGGTGTGGAAGAAACTGTAGAGCCAGTCTTTTGTCCTCTCCTTAATGTGTCTTCCTGTCCAGTTTCGGAGACATCCTCAGCCTTTGTTGTGACTGTTTACAACCCTCTGGCCAGGCCACGTCAGTATTACGTGAGAATACCTGTTCCAGAAGGTGTTGGATACAAGGTGACAGATTATAAAGGTTAGTAATATTTTACCTTAACTTTCAGTGAGAGCATACAGTATGTCTTGAGAGATTTAAGTACAGGCATTGACCATTATACGATGGGGATAGAGACTTTGAAAAGCCATCGTATGTTGACCGATTGTATGCTGATATTAATAGCTTGTGGGGGAAAATAGTTTCCTTTCCTGAGACCTCTAAGAGCCAAAGTTAGCACTTGTGAGGTTACTTTTCAACTTGTAATTTTGGGTAGACTTTTTTCTTTTTCTTTTTTTACTGTTACATGCACACACAATCTTATATATAGAATGTGAAAAAGAAAATAATTATCATTAGGTCAAAACCATAAAGGGAATACTGTACTGTACTGGTAAACATTTCTTTGTGCCAGCCATGGGGATCCATAGGACTTTTTCCAGGGGCTGCAAGAAAGTGAGACATACGGCATTTTTTTTTTTTTTTTTTAAACAGGATTAGCCTACCGGGGCACAGGTCAATCTCTCATCAGGGCCTAGGGGAGAAAATATAATAACAATAATAATAATTAATACCAACTAACAAAAAAATATTAATGCAAATTTTAAATTAGCCATTTTTTCTAAAGACCAGTTTTTGTGATATAGTCCAGAATGCGACGTCTTGCTTTATACTGTACCTAGGTATGTAAATGCCTAGCATTAACTCGCCAGGCCAACATACAGGCAATTAAAACATCTAATAATTACTTAATACGTAATATTAGGAGGACACGTCACTACCTGGCATTTAATTGTAATTCTCAAAAACCCCTCCCGTACCCTCCATCACATGCATTGCTACCATCATCTCTTGCCCCAGAGTGAGCAGTAAACAAATGTCAACTATCGAGGGGTGGAGATGGGTGGGATGTCGACGTCCCATTCTGGACTTTATCACAAAAACTGTTTAAAAAAAAAAGGCTTTTTGTTAAATCCAGAATGAGACATCCAGCTTTGATTACCCGAGCAGGAGGTGGAGAGGGAGGTGACATTGCGTATAAGGCTGCGCTAGCTTAGGTCCAGATTATAATTATAAACTTTTTGGAATATTTTCCAATATTAGTAACATTTACTAGAAGGTAAGGTGTTAATTTACATATCCCAATAAGGATACTCACTTTATTCTGATGAGGAAGAAGAAGGTCCTGGTTGTGGAGATTAACTAGGTGGGGGAGGGGACCCCAGTACCACCACATGTGAAGCATCTTTCAGAGATAGATGAAGATAGCTGTTTTGAAAGGTTTTTGAAGATTTCCAAAAGCCCACTTCTTTGATCTGACTGAGTCTCATATGCCACAGAAAGGTCACAGACCCTGCATATTTCCTGGTGTCATGTGCCAAAAATTTCTTGCCAGGGTCTACTTGACTCACTAACGGAGATAAATATTTTGTCATTTGACTAGGAGACATTTTCTTACCATCTTGTGATAAGAATACATAGGGGCCTTGATTAGGGAATCTGGTTAACCATTCTTGAAGATTCCTAACTGGGCACAATATAGGAGGAACCCTTGTCTTATCCATTAGCCATTTTATCCTGATAGGTTGAGCTTGAAAATCCCCCCTTTCATTTTTTCTTAGGATCTCCATAGGAAAAAGGGTGACATCCTCCTCAGAAAATACCAATAATGATGGATTATTGGAAATTGAAACCAGCTCACTGATTCTCATACCTATTGCTAGAAGGAAGGCTGCCTTCTGGAGCAATCTGTCCTGGTTTAGATTTATATTGTATTTACAGTAGACCCCATAAGAAATTTAGTAACTTTTTCTAGAGACCAAGGTGGGATTTCTCTTCGGCCATGGGGTCTCTGAATGAAAAAGGACGATCTGAGCATTTGATAAATTCTTGGGCTCAAAGTAATATTATGACCCCATGCCAGAGGGTCAACCAGTGCTGATTTATAAGATGCAATTGTCGATCCTTGAAGGCCCTTAACTCTTCGATCCTTGAAGGCCCTTAACTCTAAACAGAAAATCTAAAAATTCTAACACAACTGTTTCCGACAATGTGATTGGAGTCGTTAACCTGATAAATTATTGAAAAAGTGTCCAAGCTTTCTCATATTGAATAGAAGTTTGGGGTCTATGACCTGCTATCACTTGGTTAACTATATTGGAATTATCCAACAATCTATTTAAACATCTATTCAGAAACTCCAAGCGTGAAGTGCCAAGGATATCTCGAACTGTGGGTGCAGTACCTGGTCTGGACATCCTTGTTGCAATTGTAGTGGGTGCGGGCACCATTCCAACAGATCGAGACACCACGGTTGTAGGATCCAATATGGTCCAATTAAGAGGACCTTTCCTTGGAAGGATCTGTGTTTGTGAGCCACTTTGGGTAACATTTTCACAGGTGGGAACAGATAAATTGAATTCCAACTGTTCCAATCTATGAGTAGAGCATTTCCTAAAAGATTCGATCGTTCCAGAGATGCATAAATTGGCATCTTGTGATTGTTTTGTGAGGAAACGAGATCTATTTGTTGAGTCCCAAACCTCCTCACTAGACTCTTGAACTTTGATATCTTTCGGGACCATTCTGTTTCCGTCGATACTGGCCTGAGATGGACAACGCATCTGCACAATTGTTTTGTACTTCCTTTGTGTGAGTTGCTTTGAGGTAAAGTGTTTGTGTTACACAAACATTGAAAAAAAATTTCTGTCAGTTTTAGAAGGGGCCAAGATCTGCTTGAGCCTTGATGATTGAGACAAAACTCTGCCGCTCTGTTATCCATGGCAAACAGAATCGTCATATTTTTTAAATTTAGGTTTTCCAACAAAAAGAATAGGACTACTGCTAATTCTTTTACATTTATGTGTTTGTCCCAAAGGGAGTTGCTCCACTTCCCTTGATGGAACTCTCCTTTTGAGGAATAGTATCCCCATTTTATTTTGGACATGTCAGTACAAACGACTACCGTAAGTCTGTTTGAGGGGGAACCCAGGGAGATGAACCGATTAGATTGTCCAAATTTGTCCACCACGACAGATGATTCTTGATCTGAATAGGGAGAGAAGAAGCAATATTTCTGTTTCTGTGAAGCAACTTCGAGCCCAGACGAGTTAGTTGCTTTTTCCTTAACTTGCCCAAAGGAACTATTGTACTGTGGTGGCAAAATTCAACAGACCCAGTAGTTTTTCCCAATCGTGCCAAGAAACCTCTTGCTTTACACAAAAGGCTTCTACTTGGTTTATCACATCTGTTACTTTTGCTTCTGGTCAACTTACTAACTGCTGATTGGTATCTCAATGGAGACCTAACCAATCCAATTTCTGACATGGTATGAGATTTGATTTGACCTGGTTTATCTTTAATCCTAGGTTTTGAAATAGTACTCGTGTACGTTGGGTCTCCCTTTGACAATCTTCGAAAGAGTTTCCCACTATCAGCCAATCGTCTAGATAAGCAAAAGTTCTTATGCCCTCCTTCGCAAGGATCTCTTTGGGGATGTTTGCCAGTTTTATAAACATTTTTGGCGCAATTGTCAGGCCGAATGGCATCACTGTGAATTGATAACTTACATCCCCCACTGCGAACACTAGAAACTTTCTGTACCTGGTAGCAACAGGCACGTGTCTTCATTCAGCAACCACTGGGTCTTTTCTTACATTTCCACCATAACTTGGTTTTACAACTGACATGCTTGGTATACATGAATGCATCGTAGCAGATTTAAGCATGCTTATAACTGTCAATAATTTTCATGACAGTAGACATAAATAAAAAAAATTCCCCAACGATACCAAGCTCAGAGCTTTCCGCTACATTTGTCTTGTTTTTATTATCCTTTATGATTAACAATATGTATTAATTAATATTTTGTACAGTAAACCCTCGCACTTCCGGACAGTTAGGGGGATAGGGTGTCCGGATGAACTGGGGGACGAATCTGCGTTAACGATAATCATAATATTGGAATAATATAAAAGGCACCAAACTGTATTTTGCGGCATATAAGATGCATCCCACATTTTATCAGGGAGGATTTAAGAGAAAACTTGTGCGTATTTTCCTCCTGTAGTCATAATTTTTTTTAAATAATATACACAGTACCAGGAAATGTAAGGAATAAATGAAAATAATACCAATGAATGGCACGAATTGGCAAAACTGTGAATAGAAACTTATACTACCTTAGTGCACTACTGTATACCTATACTTTGTATGAGAAACTTAAGTCACTATTGCTACTCTCCTTTGTATGTGGAAGTTTGGAGCTTCATGAAGTGTACTGTACAGTAGGATGAAATCTGGTTACTGAAGCATAGGGAGATCATGAGGAGCACTGTTGGAAGAAGGTGATGCAGTGGTGGTTTGTGGAGAGGCAGGTGGTGGAGAGGTGGGTGGTGGGGAAGTGGGTGGTGGGGAAGCAGGTGGTGGGGTGGCAGCTGACCGAGTAGGTAAGCTGGGTGAGCAGCTGGTTCTTTCTTGTAAAACATTGTGATTGGTCTGTTTCCTCTTTGCTTTGAGGTTTCTAAACATTTCATTCCACTAGCACCACTATCACTGACATTAGGCAGTCTTTTAGGGACCATTTCACAAGAAACATTAAAGTTTTGTGTCCAACACAGAGATGCTGCATCACAGGCAATGGTTGAGCGCAAACAAAGGGAGAGGAAACGCTATGGGCATATATGGGTGTCTCATTGTGCTGTGGGAGAGGTTCAGAAGCTAGCCACCATCTGCTTACCGCGAACAGTCGAAATCGCTAATCGCTAACCCATGAATAGCAAAGGTTTACTGTTTTTTTTTTATTACAAAGAGTAGCTTCTTTCAAATGTAAACCATCCTCTGGGCGACATGACACAGTTCAAACTGCTCAGCCTGGTAGTCACTGGGGGTGGGTAGAGCCTCCCATGCATCACACTTGGATCGCACATGTTACACCATTCAGAGATTGCATCATCATATCTTGGAATATTTCAAGTTATTGCACATCACATTTTCATAGCAGTGACAATGCAGGAAAAGTATTCGGGTAGCAAACATTGTAAATCGGATCTAAACCGTTGCATAGCTGTATTTGGTGTTAATTTCTGAACATTGTAAAACTGATCGATCGTATATCAATCAATCGTATAACGGTCAACACCTGTACGTACTGTACCATAGATAGATGATTGTATGGATATCCTTTTTACCATATCTGACAGTTTTGATGGTAACTAACATGTTATTGGGTACAGTAAACATACTGCACTTGATTTATTTTTTATTTATTTTTTTTCTCCCAAAATACTGTAAGCTCTCAACAGTTGAATACAAGTAAAAATCTTGAATGTTGATTATTTTGTGATTGTTTTCTGCTTTTATGGAGAGAGTTAAAATGTGAAAGTCTACTTTATCTGCTAATGAGAAGTGTTTTGACTGATGACTGAGCATATACATAAGCTACTTCGCACCAAAATATTTCCTTTCCAAAAGTGAAACATATTGGCAACTATAGTATTTCCACTCGAACCTGGCCCATAAGCCACGCCCCTATTCTATACTAATAGCTGATTGGTTCATAGAAAATTGAAACTAAATGTGTTCACAATTGGTAAACAGACCTGTTATTATCTAAAATAATGTTAAATATCTGGACTATCAAAATGCAAATGATTTCAAGGCATTAGAACTTCAGAGAGGATGTTAGAAAATTTTAGATATTTATCATAAAAGGTCGATATATATACGCTCTTATATACACGCTGTCCGGAGGGAGGTAAAACGCTCTGGGGAACCAATCAGCTGTTTGTAGCTATAGACGAGGGGCGTGGCTTACGTGCCAGGTTTGGGTGAAAAGGTATAAGACTTATCTTTCTTTGCTATCATTTATTAACTTTAGCAGCTTGGAGCAGAGGCGTTCCTCTTTACTTATAAAAATGCTTGTCTAAATATCATCATGAACATCTGCCTATCGAATGCAAGTATTATAAACATATTAGTTGTTAAAGGTTTTTGTTTGTTATTTGTTTTTGTGTTTCTTATATATGTGAGAGAATATTAGATAACAAAACTAGATTTATTAACACTGTGTGGAAGTGTTGGGTATGGAAAAAATATGATTAATTTAGTTTGTAGACAAGACAAAGGGATCTAGCAATTTATTCTTAGTACATAGATCAAGTCATGTAGCATGTATGTGGTGTTAATATATAATGACATTTGTTACTGTTCTGATAGGTGATGCTGTAGAAGTTCAACTGGTGCCTCTACCAGAGTCACTCTTGAATATCCCAGGCCGTAACTCAACAGCTAAACATGATTTAGTGTTCTTAGCAAAGGACATTCCTCCACTGGGCTTCCTACAATTCCATGTAAAAAAATCAGCAAACATACGCATCTACAAAGAGCAAATGTCAAGTGTTCATGTTCCAACTGGTAGTGGTGAAATGGAGCTTGTTGGTAAGGTGAGAATATCTTAAAATAATAACATTAAACGCCATCAAATGATGCTTGATAGGTTGACAAAGAAACAAACAGTTCAAAATATCTTTTTCTAAGTACAATACAGGTATGTGCAAAATGAATACAGTCTTATAGAATGAATGTGACCAATGATAAGTACTGGTACTACCAGTGGGAAGACAGAAGAACAAGTTTAACCAGCCTTAGAGTCAGTTAGTTACTGTTATCAGTAATTAACATTTTCAGGTTTTCCATAAGTTAATTTAGTTAATATGCTTGTAAAAGTTAATCACATGTAAGATAACTGTTCTGATTCTGCAAACTTTTTAATTATTTTTAAGAGTACTCTACTGTTGTTGTGTCCTCAGAATCTGGCACTAGGTGTAGATAAAGACACCGGTCTTCTGAAATCTATTGGTGTCGTCACTCCTAATGGTATAACAATGGTAAAGGTATGTACAAAAATTATCACGGTCAATTTTATGCTATTAGTAATTTTGGTTTCTGGAAGAAAAAATATTGAGGTAGGATAAGTTGTTAATAAAATGATTGAAAATATGTTGTTTTACTGTATGAAAATGTTTTCCATGCATGAAATCCATCCTTATTAATCACTGATTAGATAATTAAATGTCCTTAACATTTTCTTTTTTCAGATGTTAATTAAAGACCTAAAGATCATAATGACCTGAATAATTCATACTGCTGAAACACCAGGCCAAGCCCCTCTTTTGCCAGAGGGTCTTGATATGTTTAATGATAGGATACACAATCCCCATGGACTTATTTATTGCTGCAGTTAGTCTTGTCACTATAGAATCAGAGTTAATTTACTCCCCTTTTTCTCACTGGTTGTCTTAGGACCAGTGAGGCTTCAGGTTGGGGACAGTACCCACAGTAGACCCATAGTTTGAATCCCATCTGCTGTAGTAGAAAGATCAAATTTCTCTATTTTGAGTTCCCTCACAAGAAAGGATGAAGGGAAATCAGATAACTGATTTTTCCCTTAGACATAAAATTGGGTTACTGCTGGTTACTGCTTTATTTATCACTTACAGGTCATCTGTCAATGACTTATGGAGGAGGATGTGTTCGTAGAGGTTTCTTTTAACAGTCCAACTAAGAAATGTTTACCTCCAGCAGCAGAAGAAGGAACTAACATTTCATAGTTCCTATAGACTCACTGTCTGTGTTTGAGGGAACTTTTTTCAGTTACCTTGAAATGAAAACTAGCTGAGGTCCGTCCTCCTTAGTCCCGATTAAATTTGTCAGTCTTACCTTTTAGAAAACTAGGAAGTCCAAAGATAAGGCAAAACCCTCTTAATCATGTATTCTGGCCATGAGTGGTTTTAATTATAATTTAATTTTTTATTGATATAAATATATCTAAAGAAATTTAGCTTTAGAGGAATGGCAGATGACTAAGCAGTATTTAGGTAGGTTTAAATAGTTAGTACTGAAAAAATAAAAAAAAACCTTCCATGATGAAAATGATTTGCACATTGTTTTAAATTTAGGGTTTGATTTTACAATTTTGACCATTTTCCATATTTCAAGCTGAAAATTGTGTATATTTAGCTTAAAATTTTGAGGCTCGGTTCTCTACTAAGTACCTGTACTTATGAATAGGCCAAAGGTATCATGTGTATCATGTAATGATGCACACTGAACTTTGACATGCATCATAATATGATATACACTGGACCACTGTTTTTAAATTTGTCTGTATCGGTAGTGTATCCTACCATTAAACATGTACAGGTGAAAGCATTCTGACAATAGGTGACAGCCAAAGTGTTATTTAGCAGCATGGATCTGCTCAGTGTCCACTTCTATAGAACACTATTTGTGACTACTACAGTACTTGCCTATTTGTATGTGTGCATGCGTATTGTGAACTCTTTACTAACTGCACTTATTGGTGTGGGGTATTCAACTAAGGCAGAAGTGTAGCTATGTGCTAGGTTATTTCTCATACTGTGTTAAAGTTGTGACTAAGAAATAGCAGAAAACTACTAAAGTACTGTACATGAAAGTAAAGATATCTACACCGTAGTAGAATAGAAAATATTACATTATACAGTACTGTACTGTACATTACTAATTATGCATATAGCAAAAATATGAATTATTACATTTAAAAACTGTACTGTACAATACTGTATTTATACATTAAATAAAAGAATTGGATAGGAGCTGCTGTTCTGGTGTCGCATGACTAAATTCAACCAGTTATGCGTACCTATTCTTGTCCCAGACCCTTTCACTCACTCATGACCCTTTCCAGTCTTTTATAAAACATGTACCTTGGTAGTCAGATGGATAATATAAGGTGTGAATTTTGAAGAGTGTTTTGTTATGTTATTATAATGTATTTAGCTAATACATCGAATGAAATCCCAAAATATTAATGAAATTAAGTGTTTTAAAAGGTGACTAATATTAAGTGTTTGGATGATTTAGGTCAACCAAACGTTCCTAAGGTATGCTGGGATGAGTGGTAACAACCATAATGAAGATCATAGAGCATCAGGTGCTTATATCTTCCGTCCTAATGGCACTTCTGCACAAGAGATATCTGCTAAAGCCAACATCACAATTATAGAAGGTTGGTTCTTGTCCTTGTTAAATTTGTTTAAGACTTTTATCATTAATGTAGGTTAGAGTGAGAGTACAAGAGCATGGTCAGTTGTTCCTACAAGAAAAAGTAATGTTTATACTAGAGATCATAAAATTCCAAGTTCTGTTAGTAACCCCATTCATAGCTACTTTGTTTACATAGCAGCCATCACAACTAGAATAATGGTCTCAAAAAAGGTTATGGCTTGTTTAGTGCCAACAACCAGCATAACTAGTGGTAGTCAGAAGAAGGAAGTGATGGCTTGTTAAGGATCTTCCTTATCGGTTTTGATAATCTTGTTCAGGATTTTTTTAAACTTAAGCAATGTTCTGGGTCTCACTGATGCTTTTACAAGTAAACTATCCCAAAGCTTTACCACTCTCTGCCTGATGAATTACAGTAGAATCACAATTATCTAGCATCCGGGCAACCGGTAGATTCAACTAACCAGCACGAAACTGAAATAATAATAAAACTAAAAATTCTAAAATATCAGCTAGTAACGTAAATTTGAATACCACATGCAACGGGGATGAGCTGCGATATTTATTGCTATGATAAACAATAAAATCAATAAATAGCATATCATAAAATACAATAGCACATATTTTATGTAAAAACTAGCTCCTTTCACACTCAAACCATCCTCTGGGCAAAGTAACCTACTTCTACCAAGCAGTCAACCAGCTGACTCAGACATGTGGCTGCTGCTCTGCGCTGTGTGTATACCATGTTGTCAGATCAGGAGGGAACGCGGCCACATAGTTATATCCCACCGCCTCCAAACACATACATATCCATATCTTCATTTTTCTTATTTTGTAGTTTTATATTGTATTTTCTTTATTTATAAGCCAACTTAGAATAGTGTAATGATTTTACCACAACTTTTATAATTTCATTACAAGGAACAATAAACGAGGCTGGAGAGTCGGCCACGTAGTTATAGCCCTCCACCTCTACACATGTTCACTTCTCACACATACACACTCATACTCTTAATTTTTCTTATTTTGTAGTTTTATATTATATTTAATTTATTTCTAATCCACATTTAAATAGAGTGGAATAATTGTTAAAGAAATCTGTTTTTCTGACACTTGAATTTGCGAGTACAGCCTCTAGCACTGTGTATTGTAGGATTTATTGGGGGATCTTGAGTATATGGTTATGCCATTCCGGGATTGCTTTATAATATCTCGGAATATTTTGAGTTTTGCAAAAAATATTTTTTGTGTAAAAAACAATTAAAAAATAATTTACAGTTGTCTGTTTTACAGTACTGCCATTCTGGGTTATATCAAATTATGAGTTATCAAGGATTTACTATGTTATCATTAGTTGGAAGTTTTTAGTCCATGTCATGAATTCCTGCAGTAATTTATGATGCCATTACAGGGCCATTACTTTTTGAAATACATCAAGTGTGGACACCATGGGTGAGTCAGGTTCTCAGGGTCTACATGGATCAGCTGGTGTTGGAGATGGAGTGGCTTGTTGGACCTATACCTATTGAGTAAGTGTCATGGATTAATTTATTATGAGTGGGAAAAGAAAATAATATGTAAGGTGAGCCCTATGAGCAAACAGAGTTCTTAATCAAATGTTTTATGCTATAACTAGATCTGATATTTAATGATGTGAAGATGTTTATCATCTAAAATGCTGAAGGAAGGCTTGAATTTTTTAGCATTCTCGTGCATAAACCATGTAGGTAAAAAGTTTTGATTGATAGCTGTTGTCACTATTGAATGGTACTTTTTTTCCAAGTTTGAATGTTGGTAATATGTATTGTCACTATGCTGATACCTATTAGAAATTATTTGGGATAAAAGTTTCATCTAATAACTTCCAGCAATTGTCCTGCAGATTCAAGAAGTAATTGCTACTGCTTAAGCTGTGATTGAACTTTTGGCTTTATCCATTATCGCTGCTCTGGTGGACATCTACCAATGCTTCCTTCTAGAAAAAAAAAGAGCACTCCATTGCCCTATATACTTTATTACCATTGTGTATTGGAGAAAAAAACTTTACTGACTTATGGTAATTGTTTATTTATTTCATTACAGGTAACTGTACTTTCTTACCAAAAACCAGATCAGTCATACTCCTCTTTATTCTTTCTTTTCTAAACTTCTTTTGTATATACTCTGGCATCTTTCTTTGATAAATATCAACAGTCCTCATACTTGCTGGCTCCCACAGTTGATAGTATCACTCTAGATCTTTCTACATCTGCACTTTCTCAGTGGTGGGTCTAGTACAGTATTGGGCGGTCGGTCACGTCTCTGTTACGCACTGTTAGCAAGTATACTGGGCATGCACTGGCTCCCGAATGTACATGAACCTGTTCCAGTGTTAGTCAAGTCTGGTTTTGGAACAGCTCACACTTGGTGCTGTTGCAACACACTCTGGCAGGTTGTTCCACAAGATTTTACAATTCTCATCTCCAAAAAAGTTTGCCCTCACAGTTTTCTGGACCTGCAGCTTCTTCCACCTTGAGCTGTGATCCCTAGTAGGATGGGCATCTGCCAGCTCCAGGTATGGACACTCGACTGAGTAGTGCCCTTTGAGACATTTGTACACTTAAATTAGGTCACCCCTTGCCTGTCTGTAGTATAAGCTAGGCAGTTGCAGGTGCTCTAATCTTTCTGGATAACTGAGGTGCCGAAGTGCAGGCACCAGTCTGGTGGCCCTCCTTTGGAAATTTTCTATCAACTGACAATCCCTAGTATATCTTGGGGACCAGATGGGGTGACAGTACTCCAGATGGGGAAGCACTTTACTCTTGAAGATCGTTATGAGGGACAGACCATCTAGATATCTGAACAACCATCTTATAAGATCTAATAGTTTAGTTGCTTGATTCACCTCCTTCTCAGAATGGCCTAAGAACTTCAGTTCATTGTCAACATACACACCCAGGCCCTTTTCGCATTTGGTCTCTATTAATGCAGTTTCTTCATCTCACTGTGGCATATGACACGCCTCCTTACCATTGGTACAACCCAGGTGCATCCTCTTGCAATTCGTGACATTGAATCTTAGCTGCCATTTCTTCGACCACTCATGAAGCTCAGAGATTTTTCTGCAGCTCTACGCAGTCTGTTTGGTTCTTAATTTCCTGAAATAACTTGGCATTGTCTGTAAAAATTTGTCTGGTGGAGTGTATATCTTCTGGCAAATCATTTATGAAACAAACAACGAAGGGCCCAATGCACTGTCCTGTGGTACCTCGCTTGTCACAGGTACACATGACGATTTCATACCATTAATCACCACACACTGCTTGTGATTATGCAGAAAGTCTCTGATCCGCGCTAGGACACTTCCCCGAATCCCGTACCCTTCATACATCATCATCTTTCAGTTGTTGTTAATGTATTTGAAATTAATTTATTCAAGTTTATTGCCAGTGTGTGTGAAGTTAAAAGCTGTGTTTGTATTTTAATATACAGTACAGTAGTTTTATTGCAAAAGAGTGAGTGCATTTTGACTTGTGCCTGAAAGACTTTCCATACTGAAGGTCCTTCTAGAGATAATCATGCATTTTGGCTGAAGAGTCCTGCAGTGTCAGCTGGACTGTCTTTCTGGGTATTTGGTATAGGGTAGTTTTTAAGGTTTGCTTTATTGTGATTTATACTTTTCTTATTCATAGGTTAACTCCCCTAATTGGGTGCGTGTTACATCAGATAAGCACCGCCCCCTATTTTCTAGTTACCTTGAGTTACTAAAAGTACCTGGTGGAGGGGATCAGGTTATGAGTGGAAGAATGACCCTGAAATTTCAATTTATTGCCAAGCTGCCTACAGCTATCTTGGATACCCTCCCTTGAATTGGGAGGGTTGAGCTTAGATACCAGATGGCTGATAAGTAATACAATAACTGACAAATGAAATACATGTACGGAACTGAACACTAGTTTGAGATCATGGTTTGGCAGACACATCCCTCAGATAGGAAGGAACCTTTGCTTCTAGTACTTCATTTTTAAGAGTGACAGTAGTGATAAAGAGTTAGCAATAATTTTTACATTGATCAATGGGTAAAACTGATTGGAGAATACTGTTCACCAACTAATGTTTTGGGTCACCTGACTCTGTGATCTGCTAGGGTTTGTGTGCTTTAACTTAAATTTGTTGGCTTTGGGCTTAGCTATAAATTGGAATTTCTGGATCATATCTTCATTTAACTAACTGCATTATGCTCATTAATTTGTTTCTTCAAAATAATAGGGATGGCATAGGAAAAGAGATTGTGAACCGTGTAGTGTGGCCAGATATTGTGACTAATAACACCTTCTACACTGATTCCAACGGCCGGGAAATAGTACAACGTAAGACCTCCATGTTTTTCCTAGTGTCTTTTTAATAGGTTTATACCAATTGTTTTTTTCTTATTCTCAGTTAATGATTCCAAGGTAGCCATGATCAGCAACTAAAGTTGTTAACCAAGGGTCTTTCCTAAGACCCTCTAGATTATGAAATTATTTTTTTTTTCTTTTCTTTTTTCTTTTTTATGGGAATAGCCCACTTGGGCACAGGTCATTGACCCACAATGGGTCCTTGGGTCTGATTAGGTGCATTGCAGATACAGTATACTGTACAGGAATTCCTTGCTATTGACAACCCTGCTTATTCACAATTTATACTTTAACACCCATATTCAATATTCGCAAATCATACCCAGCTGATTTGCAGAGTGAGTTAATAAAAACAGTATCCGTGGAGATGGCATGTTGCTGTAGGATAAGAAAAATGAAGAGCATGGGTGTCTTATGTGCATGTAGTGAAAACATGTGTGTGGACTTGGCAGGTTGCCAAGTTCAGGCTGACCCTGTAGCTACATCCCCCAAGCTCTCCATCTACCAGGCAAAGCTTTGTAATTGTTATTTTTCAACACGTAATTTTGGGTAGGTGTACAGTCGGGGTCAAAAGTCTTGAACACTTAGCAATATCTGGCATCTACTTTTGACTTATATTATATGATTGGGATACACTAATAACACTACTTGTCATCACATATTAAGCCTGAACCACAAAATGGGATAAAACTCTCCTTAATACCTAAGATCTTCGGGTACTTACATGCTAAATACTGTCAAGTGCTCAAGACTTTTGACCCTGACTGTACATTTTTTTTTTTTTTTTTACATTCACACAGTTCATATAGAATGTGCAAAAAATAACTACATAAATGAGGGAAATGATTATCATAAGGTCAAAAGCATAAAGGGAATAAACATTTCATATGTGCACAGGAGTTAGCACACGAATCATGGGATGAGAGGAGGAGGGGGCAGTGTTGGGAATCTCAACCACTCCAGTCTCCCATGTCCCACATGTATTGAAATTATTGCCAACTGGCAATGTGGTATTTTTTATTTTATTTTATTTCATAGTTTAGTTTTTATTTATTCTTCACATTTACTGGTATTACAGTACGTACTGTATGCATGCGACCCTGGTCCTTAATAGCCTCGGATAATAGGGAGTGTATATAAAAAATAAAATCGCAAATTCGTAATTTGCATTGACATTCAGGAACGCGTCCTTTGCGATAACCTGGGTATTCCTGTACTGTATACTAAGCCTACTGTACTTTATGCAAGGAGGCAATGTAGCACTTTACTGCCTTCACTTCCCTAACCATAAATTTGTGTAAGTATTCATAACTGGTTGAATGGGGGTCCTCAGGGTATGAGCCAGTGGCCTTTGGTGTAAGAGTCAAGCACTGTATGCACTCAGCTGTTGCACCCCACATTTGGTTTGTACTTCTCAAAATAATAGGAAAAAAAGTTTGGACACATCACATCTCTTTCCAGTAACCAATGTAAACACTCCACCTACTGCTAACTTATATACTGCATTACACCTTTTGCTAAATGATTATATTACCTTACATCTGCTAAACTTTGTTTTGGCTCATGAGGGATAAATAACCATCAAAAACAATCTCGACATTATCTTTCTTTATGTGGTTCATTGCTTGAGTTAGAGACCTTTTTATGGAGGTGACCAACCAAAGCAAGGATTAGAAAGGTGGGTGAGAAGGGTTTGGGAGAAGGCGAGAGATGCAGGAACAGGAAATGATGCAAACAATTTGCAGATTAGACAACTTATTGCTTGACCCAGTATTCTCATTGGTAGACAGTTATAGGCATATTGATAAGTTGAAAATATAAAGAATAAGTAGGAGTTGGGAAAATGAGAATGGAGAATAGCATGATGGAATTAAAATGAAAATGGAATAACAATGAAGAGGAAATTACATTGATTAAAACTGCACTTCAAATTAATCTTTAGAAAATGTAAGGGTATAGGAAGGCTTACAGTAAAGATAATTACACAGTGTGGGAAGATATAGCATTGACTGTGTTTGTAACAGGTAACATCTTAGGATACAAGTGACAACATAGAGAGTATCCTGGAGGAGTTAAGTGAAACAGTAAGGACAGCAGTCAATATAGAGGAAACAATTAATCACTTTTTCATGGCACTGGAACCATGGTAACTGCATACCGGACTGAACATTGCAGTAATTCCTTGATAAAAGTTTGTCTTACAGTGATTTAGGTATGTAATGTTTATCATTGATCTGAGGCAAATGATAATATAGAGAGTTGTGTAGGGTAGATTGGCCAGCTTAATTGTTTAAGAGATAACTAATTATTAGATATTTGTCTATAAAATAGCCTCCAGTGTTGTTTATGGAACACAGGGGTTCATATTGATCTAATACGTATATCAAGGAGAATAGAATAGGGAGCAAAGAACTTAAGTTTGGTAGATATCAGTGCTCTCTATTTATGGTATTACTGTTAGTGAAAATTTAAAATATTTAGTAAATAGGAAAGCATGATTAATATTGATCTTTTTACTGCTAGGTGTTAAGGACTTCCGCCCAACTTGGCAGCTTCAGAACTTGGAACCTATTGCTGGTAATTATTACCCAGTTAACTCCAGACTCATTCTTAGTGCTGGGCCTGACGTCAGTGCTGCTATTCTCACTGATCGCTCACAGGTGAGGAACCTTGATTTTGAGTACAGGTATCCCTTAAGATATGAAAGGTCAAGTTACAGAAATTCATATTTATGGAATGCAAAAATTATGGAACAAGTTTTGAGATACTGTCCGTAAAAAAGTTTCCCGTGTTTAAGAAATGGGGGAAATTTATAAATCTTATCAACCTTCAATATTTCACCAAACTCAAATTAAATACATAATTCTGTACTGTATAAAGACATTTAAACTATACTGCACTCACCAGCAGATGCTGTTGTCTTTGGCATATGATGCAGGTAGGCTAAAAGGTTATATGATGACAAAGGATGGTCTGGCTTTGACCTGTACCATCTACTGTCGCAGGAGTTGCTAACTGTCACTCTCCACTCCTTCCATGAAGGAGGGATTACACACTCACTGTATACTGTACATACACCCGCTACACACTAACCTACGGTAGGCATGCAGGGTACTCTACTGTACATATGGTACTTTTATACCTACTGAATGTACAGTACAGTACTGTACACGTAACTGTAATTACCTTTTTTACATCTCACTACTACTACTTTTAACACTTCTTTATCAGTATTTTTGGCTTATTATATGCTGGTACGGTAATGTACAGTACTGCACAACAGATATGTGAAAGCAGTGAGTGAGCAAACAAGTTTGTACAATGGCAACAGACAATGAACTAAGAGTGTCATGATGTTATAGTTGAGGAGATAGACTGTGAGATAGATCAGCCAGTCATAGGCATCCCTTGCAGTCACATGACAGTAATGGCCAATCTTAGCTTACAAGCATTTTAAGCCTACCCACTCACGTGCCCGGCACACGTCCCTGCATTGGAAACATTATGTAATCTCTTGGAAATTAGGTTCCATTCTTAGAATGGAGAGAATTTTTTAAAATTTTCCAGAAATGTAAATGATGCAAACCTCAGAAATTCGTTCACATACCCAGAATAATGAGATTTTTCCTGGAATTTCTCAGAATGAAAAAAAAATCCATCTATTGGAGAGCTCTGGAGATTGAATATTCCTGTTAATTGAGAGATTACTGTACTGTATACGTACTGTATATTTGTTTGTATTTAATTGTTTTACAAATTTTAAAGTGTTGTATGAAAAATTGCCCAGGTTTTCCCCAAAATTCCTGGCTGTGAGTGCCCTCCCTTAATACATACTTTTTTCCAAGCAGGCCATTAAGTGACGAAGATGATAAAGTAAAATGGGGTGGGCAGAGGTTCATTTAGTAGGGTGAAATGTATGAACAGATTTGCTTATTACAGTACCTGTACTGCACAAAAGTTTTTAAGGAATGGAATTATTGAGATGAACAAATACCCTGTAAATATCCAATGAGTAACATGTTTCAATTAAATGAGTACAGTATTTTTTTTTTACTACTTTTTTTTTCAACAGTATGTTTTAGTGGGAGAAATGTTTCCATGGGAACTCATCTCTAATTACATAATGGAATTGTATGGGAAAATAGGTTTTCAGAAATGTAACCCATCTGCAACTTGAGGGATGCTTGTATTATAAAAAAATAAACTAAGATAATAATAAGAATATGTAGACTACACTCCAAGGTCGTCACACCAGTCTCCCTTTTGTGTTTACAGGACCCAGGATGTAACGTTTACCCACATTTTCTTGTGGCTTGTGCTGATTTCTCGTGCATCACAGGGATTTCCTTTATTCATTACAGTGTTGTGAGAGTTTGAATTATGCCTCGTGTTGCTGGCGAGAGTGGAGTGGTGGGAAGTTCCCATATCGAAATAATTATTTTAGCATGATTAGTCATATAAAACTGTTTGTAGATAATTTATTGACAATGCTAATGCTACAAATTGCACCTTTTTATTTCAAATAGCAAGCTGCTATGACTTGTATACAATTATCTCTCATGTGATGCAGTCAAGTGTGGTGAGGTGAGTATTGGGCCAGATCCAGAGCATCTTGCAGAGAAAGCCTACCCAAACCCAAGAGTGTTAACATGTAGACTGGCGAAAATGTCATCCCCAGTAGAGATGTTTCCTCTTGCAGTACTGTAATTTGTAACCAACTTCTTAAACATGTCACTTTATTTGGATTTAGAATTTTGTCCCAAAAATAATTTTACAGCTTTCACAATGTTACATGGAGCTAAAACTTCAGGCAAATTTTAAGCAATTTTCTAAAAAATTTAGGGTGGAACATCTTTGGATCATGGTCACATGGAACTCATGGTTCACCGACGGCTCCTTCACGATGATGCTTTTGGAGTAGGTGAAGCCCTAAATGAGACAGCATTTGGAAAGGGTCTTGTAGTTCGTGGCAAACACTACCTCCTCCATAGGTAAGTTGGAACCATATCTTATTCATAACTGGAAACACTGCTTTACCCAAAAAAGATAGGTTTTCAGGGATCACAAGGAGATAAACATGTTGGCCTCTGTCATGTGACTTTCATCCTCCTAATTTGTAGTAACCAACTGGCCTGTCATCACCATGGCTCAGTTGGTGTTTATCTGCCATGCAGTGAGGAGCTCTAAGTAAGCATCCACAATCCCAGGAAAGAGTGATTGAAAAAGTTTTTTTTTTTTTTTTTCGGGGATTAGCCCACCCTGGCACAAGTCACTGACACCCATCGGGGCCTGGGGAAAGAAGATGTAATACTGTAATAACAATAATAATAATAATAATAATAATTCATATTAAATCAAATTTATAATACAAAATACAAAATTGAAAATAAAATAATAATGACAATACGTACTGTAATAATAATAACAACACTAATAATAATAATAATAATAATAATAATAATAATAATAATAATAATAATAACAACAACAACAACAATAACAATAATAATAATAAAGATCCATAAAGAAATACAAAAATTAAAAAAAGATCAAGAGTGAGAAACAATACGTATAAGTATGTTGTGTAGTCAATAGTAAGAGAAACAATTGAGACCCTGCAATTGTGTGTGAATGAGGCAGAAAGTCAGATGAGCAACCTGGGACTTGGTCACAATTTTTTGATGCCATATGACAGCAGGATCTACCATTAGACAACACATTATGCTTCCAATATCTTCCCAGGCAGGAGTATCTCTCTGTTTGCCAGAAAGCTGTATTCTTCCTCCATTATATGGCATATTCCTTTTGTGGTAGTTCGCCCTTGTTGCATTGTAAAATTCCATTGTTTCAAAGGGGCAAGAAGAACATGCGAGTCCCTAGAAAATGCACATCATCTTTATGGCAAGAAGGGCAGACTTATCACCACATTCAACCAATCCGCATCATTGTAGCTGTTTTGGGCCATAGTCCCACACTCTCTTTTAAATCTATCTGTGTGTGTGTTGATGTAATTGCCATTATCATGAATTTATCTGATAGTGGTGAGCAGTAGTTCAGTAGAACCGGCAGATGCAACTAACCAGCACCAAAATGAACCTGGATTTTTCCAGGTTTGAGAGAATTGTCTCATTACCCAGAAATCTCTCATCCCCGGAAGAGCTCGGCACCAATTGTTCGGCCTGTGTGATATTAGACTGATCAGCCTGTAGTTTTCTACTGCACTTTTCCTACCCTTCGTGTATACTGGGATGATGTTGGCTAATTTTCAATTCCTTGATTCAAGGATTATCTGAATAAGAGTCAGTGGGATGCAAATCTCGTTTGCCACCGCCTTTATCACTTTGATCTGTGCGCTGTCCACTCCAGGGGCTTTGGATTTGTATCTCACTAAGATTCTTATTCATATAGACAATTCACAAGGTGGAAACAGCTGGCAAGGCAGGTTTGCAACTCTTTGGGGTAATAAAAACTTTGCCTTCCCAAAAGGGTTAAATTGTATATTTTCTACTTTAGCTGTTCTAATGTCACAGATTACCAAGTTTTCCGAATCTTCTGATAAATAGAAGATTTTTTTTTTTTTTTTTTTTTTACATTCCAGTATTAAAACATGCCCATGATAACTATTTTTCCCATCCAGTTACTTTGCAACATCAAAGGATTGTGATTTTGGGTGTTTGCATCGCAGTGTTGGGGAACACATCATGTTAGAGCCTGTCCTCTCCTTCACTCCCACCACTGCTACTACACATACCTGGAAGAATACTTATACTAACAAGGTAATTGACATAATGATACTGTATACAGTGGTCCCTCAGTTAACGAACACAATTCGTTCCACAGAGTCGTTCATTAACCGAATCCATTGGGTAATTGGTTCCAGCTCACAGAAAAGTGCATACAAAGTAAAGCCAAAAATGCATAAAGTCAGAAACACTCCTAAAATTCCCCTAAATCGCCCTTAAATCACTATATGTATATATATACGTACGTATACACTCTTACTCTCAAATCACTACTGTAATGTGATACAGGTGATTGATTTTTATCTCTTGTGCAAAATATATGACATTTATATTCAAATTATTTGCTGTCTTGCAAGGATTCCAGCAATGCAAATTATATTCTAACTTTAGTCTGAGATATTATATACAGTACAATAAAAACTGTAAGCCTAAAACCCTGGCTGGGCAGATGGGGAGAGGGAGGGAGCGAGCAGGAGGTGAGGTGATATGTTTGACAGTTGGCGCCAAAGGTCTAATGTGTGTTTATTTATCAGTCCTTAAGAGTGACTAAGCTTCTCTCTTATAAAATGCCACTGAAATGACTGGGGAGAATATAATTTACATTGCTGGGATTCTTGTAAGAAAGTGATTAATTTGAATATAAACAAGCTATAATTTGCACTAGACATAAAAATTTTAGTACTCTAGTCATTTAGTACATGTACAGTACAGGTTTGCACTTAGGTCATTTATTTCATTTACGTTTCTTTTAGTATGGTGTGTGCATGTAAATGAATGAAAATAAATGAAGAAATTTATGAAAATCTACCCAAAAATACAGTTGAAAAACTTTACATTACTAAAATGTACTAAACTAATGTACTAAAATTTTTATCTCTTGTGCAAAATATATGACGTTTATATTCAAATTATTCGCCGTCTTGCAAGGATTCCAGCAATGCAAATTATATTCCCCTAACTCTAGCCTGTGGTAATTATATAAGATAAAAACTTAAAGCCTACTGTATAACCACCAAACTCTTGCTGGGGGGGGAGGGGAGGTGACAGTGACGTGTTTGACAGTTGGCGCCGAAGGTCTTATGAAGTATTTATTTGTTTATTTATGTCCTTTAGATTGAGTTTTTGTTTTTTGCTTATAAAATGTCATAGAAGTGACCGGGGAGAATATAATTTACATTGCTGGAATTCTTATAAGATAGTGATTAATTTGAATGTAAACATGCAATAGTTTTCACTTGACAAAAATTTGAGTAATCATTTTGTACAATATTTTGATTACATGTACAGTACAACTTTGCCCTTAGGACAGTGTGTGCATGTAAATGAGTTTCAATAAATGAATAAAGTTACATATATCGAGCCAAAAATAATAGTTGAAAAACTTTATGTAGACAGAGCTTGGCTGGCTAAATTTTAGAATGACCAATAATTTTAATATAAAAAATGCAAAAATATTTAAGAACACAACCTTCTTGATATTTACTCCACTGGAAATGAATGTAAACATAGAACAGATTACTGTATTGGCGGACTAGCCGATCAGCTGATGCTCACAACAAAACGTGTTTGTCGTAAGGATTTCGTCAATCAAAATTTTGTTCGTTAACCGAATTGAAGATCCTTATGGGAACTAATTCGTTGACCGAAATTTCGTTAATCGAACCGTTCGTTAACCGAGGGACCACTGTAGCGTTTTGTCTGGAATTTAATACAGTAGTGTACTTGTAGTATATCTAGAATTGGTCTTCACTTTTAACCACTTGTGCACAAGGTCCTCTCTCTGTTGAAAAAATCATTTGGCATTAGCCAAATAAAATATTAAAAGTGGCATCCCAGTAGTGAAGGAGTTAAGCAGCCATTTGGTATATGGCCATCTGCTTTTCAAGTTGCATTATGTGTACAGGTATTTTCAGTTATTTGAGAAAATATTTTAAGGTTGACTATCATTGTCTTTCTTTTGAAAAATATACACTGATAAGCTCCATTTAGTAAAAGAATTACAATATCCTAGTCTGAAAACTTTGTTCCCACTTCACCCCGGCTAAGAGAGGACCTACCCAAGATTCCCCTGCCTTCTAGTATTCCTTTCTAACCTTCAACTTAAAGACATGATTGGTGGATAGGTTTGCTGTAGGTCTTATAGGTTGGCTGTTTGGAGACACAAGTTACTACAAGGGTGTAGGAACACATATCCAAAACTGTACCAAGTCATTATCAATGATCTTCACATTTTTAAGCATTTATTATGAAACAATTAACAAATATACAGCAAATAGCAAAATGTACTAATTAAGAACTCTAAATGTTTTATTTTCAAGATATAGAAGTTCAATATGAGTTCTTTTTTGTGGCTCTGCTGACAACAAAGTGGTTTTCTGTTTCCATCCATACATTTTGTGCTGTATGATACTGGACTTTGCTAACAGCCTCACATATATTTACCCTGCTTAAAATTTTCCCAAATTGTTGGCTTTGTTCAGAAAAAAAAATTATATTTTTTCCATAGCCCCGGAGGAAAAGTCAGGTGAAAGAGCTGGCCAAGGAATGTGCCAACTATGCCAAGCTTGCTCACCCTTTCTAAACCTGATTGACTTTTTCCACTGGATCTATGTCAAAAATTTAATTTTTGCTCTGGTTAAGCCAACAACTGGGAAATTTTAAGTTAATATACATGAAGCTGTTACTGGACCTTTAGGGTGACCAGTGAGCCATAATAGAGCTATGATATATAGATGAATACATACATATTATCTAAGTTCCATATCTTGTTATGGGTGTATACCCTCTTAGTGGACAGGTCTGAAGACTTCCCTACCAGCAAATGTTCACCTACTGACACTGGAGCCCTGGACTGATGGTTCCCTCTTACTGCGATTGGAGCATATGTATGAGGCTCAGGAAAGTGCTACTCTCAGTAACCCTGTTACTGTTAACCTGCAAGTAAGTGTTAACTCCAATAAACCATCTGTTAAGTAGTCATCTCCATACCTTCAATATTGTCCCAGCATCAATCTCAAGATGAGGTTCTTCTTAGTTTGGTGCCTTTGACAACCTTCTTTGTGATTATTGCATCAGAGAGCTAAAACTTAAGTCCAGATTTAAGGCAGGGTTCACACTAATATTATGTTTCTAGCAGCAAGAAAACAATGATTGTATCTGACTTCAGCTTTTCATCTTTTATACATGTCCCGATATCATCCATCATTTAAGATTTAGTGATTCATAAACAGACCTGAGAGAATATATATTTTACAAACCTCACAAGATAACAACAGGTAAGACAGCTGTACAGTACAGGTAATCCCTCGTTTAACAAATGTTCAAGATACAAAAATTTGCTTATACAAATTTCCTAAGTTAACACTCTTTTATTTAACGAAAGTTTCCCCTGCTTATGCGAATTTGGGTCCCAGCAAAAATTAATATTGCGCTCCCCTGGGAGTCAACTAGGGCAGTCATCTTGGAGAGATGGACAGATTCGTATTCTCACTCAATGATCATAACAAACCTCCTCCCTCCGGCATCTCTCCCTAGCCTGAGTCTTTTGTTCCACCATTCCCCACCCCTTATGGTGAGCTCTGACTGCCCTCCCTTAAGATAATAGCTCCCGCCATTCAGTTGGACATGATATAATGATGGGAACTGAATTCTTTTATAAAAAAAACATAAGAAAATGTCTATACAGTACTGGAGTCTATAAAATCAGTTCTAATTAAGTTAGAAACACCATTTTTATGCTAAAATAGCAATTTTTACTCAATTTTTATGAATGCAATTTGAAATTTTTCAAATTAAACTAACCTTGTGCTCAGTAAATTGTTTAACTCAGAACCACATAATTTATAAAGAGGGCATTGGAGTGCAATTTTGAAACAATAAAAACTTATGGTGTGCAATTAGATTTACTGGAAAATTTTTTTTGCCAATTTTACTATACAGTATTTTTAAGTAATATTTTGCAAATCCGTGCCTTTCGAAAATTTGGCCACTGTCGTTTACTAATTACAGTATCACAAGTTTTTGAGGTCAGCCTTTATTTTGGGCGGATGCCAAACCATCGAGATTTCTAAACTATCAGATGCTGGACTTTCGGAATTCTACTGTGCACTGTACTTAGATAATTAATGCAAACTAACATGCTTTATTGATAAATCTTTATTGTTAATTTTTTTACCCACCATGATTCTTACCACACCAACTTTTACCCACCATGATCCACATCACCTGTTACCCATCATGATCCACACCACCTGTTACCCATTATTATCCACACCAACTGTTATCAACAACAGCTGGTATTAGCACATTCTCCAACCACTTGACCTTAGTTAGAATCTAACTGTGTAAAGTGATGAGAGTTCATGATATAAAGAAGTGATGGAGGTCCCTGAGTTCCATTTAATCACTGGATGGCAAGAGTTTCTTGAGGCTTAAATGTGGTTTTGGTGTCATTAAGTAAAATGGGATTAAAGGTCCCTCAGAGTAAACAAGTGTATTGGCTAGACTTATCTAGTTGACTCCTACTCTTATTTATCTAGTGGACTCTCACTAATTCCTATAGGTAGATCACATCCACCTGTTAGCCTAGTGAGATTAGCACCACTTAACACTTTTCCACAGGATCTGCTGGTTGACTGGAAGATCTTGTCTGCTGTGGAGACTACACTGTCTGGAAACCTCCTGAAGAAGGATGAGAATCGCTACACCTGGAATGTTGACTCTGCCCATCATGATAACCATATCTCAAGCAGCCAGTGTGACAGTGAGGTTTATGAATATGATGATGAATTCTCTGTCACACTCAACCCCATGGAGATAAAAACCTTCATTCTTACAACAGAGAAATCTACCACACTATTTTAATATTCCTTTGCAATTTCAAGATTTACAGACTCCTAGTTACCCTTAAATCTTCACTTCCACTGTATTTTCTGTTGTTACTCTGTATGTACTTGCATTTTTAGTACCACTCAGTACATGTGATATTCCCTATCACTCATACTGCTTACTGTAGTGCGTTTTTTCTCAGCTGAGAAAAGATGCCCTGCCCCCTCCTCAAAAGTTACAGCTGGTTGGCTGTTGCAAACCTGTTTGATTTTGTCCTGAAGTAATGATGTACAGGTTAACCATCTCAAATCCGGACTGATTGGGACCTGAACAGTGCCGGATTAGTGATTTTGCCGAACTACAGGTGGTTAGGTTAGGATTAAATAAATAAACACCTCTAACCCACTTAATAACCACCTCACCTACCTTTAAAATACTCTGTAAATAGTACAAGTTGGATAATAAAAAGAAACAGCCACTGGACTCTCAACTGTCAACAGATGTCAGCGTTGTGGTACATTGGACCTTCGCTTTATGAGCATTCACTGTATACGAATTTGCATTTTTGCGTCGACCCTATTTCTACCCATTATTCATTTTATGAGGAAAAGATTCCCTATTATGCATTCTACAGAAGATATGGCACAAAAGTTTTATATTATTATTATATTATCTTTATTTCTAAGCCACATTAGAGTATTTTGAATGATTTTTCAACAAATTTTACAGCATTAAGGCTCTAGAAATGATTGTGAAACGTGGCACAGTGTGTGTGTGTGTGCACTGCGCTGTATGTGACATCACAGGACGCGGCTGGAGTGGTGAGTCAGACACTCCACACACATACACTTTCTACACAAACACCCATGCTCTTCATATGTCTTAGTTTATAGTTTTATATTATATTATCTTTATTTTTAACCCACATTAAAGTATTGTAATGATTTTTCCACAACTTTTATAGCATTACTGTTGACTTTTAGTAGTTGTGGAAGCGCCAATGTTATACACGTCGCATATGCTGTGAACAGACACACCACTGTCGAGTTTTTTGAGAAGTTCAACCTTATCTTGTATAGACAACGTATGGTGTTTGCGCTTTACACCACGAGAAGCACTTCCTTCATTCAATGAAGACATGACTGGGGCTAAATAAGAGCAGTTTATAATAATAAATGAAGAAAAACACAGAGGAATAACTTGCCGCTCCTCAAACACCGTGCCAACAGCTGAGTCTGCTAGTGGCGCAGCCAAAACAGTAGCGGCAGGTTGGCGAGGAGACCGGCGCAAAATTTGAAATTATGGTAGCCAGATTATGTTCGAACGAGCGGTGGAACCGGAGTACTGATTGCCGGATATGAGGTGGTCTACCTTTATTTCTAAATGAGTTTATTTATAATCGTTGGGAAGACCGTTTCTGACGAGAAAGTTATTTAGCTAAATTATATAAAGATACATACATTCACTTATTTCAAGCATAAGCGCGTAGGAAGCTTATCAGAAGTATTATACAGTACAGTACTCCCTCTTTATCGACGGGGGTTACGTTCTGTAAACGGCCGTCGATAAAGAAACCGTCGATACCGTGATGGTTACGTAATTTTTCTAACTATTATTAGCATATGTTGAATAAATGTACCTTTAAGCATTAATGCGTTTCCTTTACGCATAACCTTAAATAATAGTGTATAAATAATAATATAATAAGTGGACAAAAATACTAGCAAACTTACGATTTCATTTATTGAAGTGAACATCGGTCCTTACAGTAAACAAAACAGTGTACAGTACAGTAAAAGTCCAAAAATCCGGCTGCCCAAGGCAAATTGTTTACCATTTATTATTACAACACTTTACACTGAAACGCGGGTAGTTTCAACAAAAATATTGTATATTTCCATTCAAGTATTTATTCAAGTCAATTAGGAGGGAATATTATTGTAATACAACAGTTTTTTAACTAAACCATTCGAAAAGTGATTACGGTAACATCTTTTGAACGAAAGAAAGCGAGTCATTGTTTTCGTCACGATTTGATCCCACTTTCCACTGTAATACGTACGTCATTTTAGCAAAAATATTACATTTCCGTGAATGTATTATATCAAGCACAGTATGAATAGAATATCATTGTAATATAACAGAATTTTAACCGAAAACTATTAAAAAAACGAGTAACATCTCAAGAACATCGGAAGCTTAGGTAAAGTCTTTTGTTTCGTCATGTATTTTATCCTATTTTACATTGAAATACATCACGTTTCAGCAAAACTACTATTTATTTCCGAGAATATATTCATTCAGGCGCAGTTTAGGTAAAATATACGTGTGATGTAATAATTTTTTAACTGAAAACGATTCGAAAAACACGTACCCTCTAGCCCTGTTCAAGGAGAGGACTGGGAGAAGCTGTTTGGTGCCAAAATAAAAATCCGGCTAAATAATCCGTCGATAATCAAACCCGATAAAAAATCCGTCGATAAAGAGGGAGTACTGTACATGAATTAACTGTTAAACTCTGATAGCAAATTCACGCTTTCGGAGGATGCATTTAATATATACTGTATTCATTTTTACCCACAATAAGGCATACTAAGACTAATTACGTATCAGTAATATTACATTATGCAAAAACAACATTTTAAAAGATCAGAATCACATTGAAATATTACACGACCGTTAACAGAGAGCTGGAAAAATATGAAGTTGTACGCAGTCATATTTCCCGCCTCTGCTGACAGTCGTGTAATATTTCAATGTGATTCTGATCTTTTAAATGCATCCTCCAAAAGCGTGATTTTGCTACCAGAGTTTAATAGGTAATTCATGTATAATACTTTTGATAAACTTCCTATGTGCTTATGTTTGAAATAATGAATGTATGTATCTTTATATTATTTAGCTAAATATCTTTCTCCTTAGAAACGGTCATCCCAACGATTATGAATAAACTCATTTAGAAATACATCATTACTTCAGGACAAAATCGGACAGGTTTGCAACAGCCAATCAGATGTAACTTTTGAGGAGGGGGTGGGGCATCTTTTCTCAACTGGGAAAAAACGCTATAGCACCTGTAGTGCCACTTGGCATGTGTAGTATCATTCTTCAGAATATAACACTCATGCAATCTTTTGTTTGGCTCCAGTTTTATTAATTAAAGGTTGTGTTTGGAAATCTAATTTTTGGTTGAGAAATAGGAAACTAAGATTTTTATAAGTACAGGTATTGTCTAGTGAATATTGCTAGCAGATAATGCACTTGCCCATCATGCCACTTATCAATGACAGGGGAAACTTTATTTTATAAGTTGATAGAATGTCTTCATTTGACAGTAAATCTTAAGAACATATGAAAGGAAACCTATTAAAAATATTTTATGCTTCTCAAAAAAATTAAACATTGAAATTCTATTTAATGGTCTTCTTACACTATATGTTACAGTCTCAAGTACAGACAATTACCAGAGCTAATCCCTCTTGCATAAGAGAATGTTTGTGACAGCATCAAGTGTGGGATCCTTTAAAATCAGAACTGACTAGCATTGACACATATTCTGGTAAATTCTAGACCATCCCACAACTCCCCTTCCCCCAAAAAACACCCTGAATTGCCTCTAATAATGATAGAATGTTAAATATGAGCACAGAAACTTAAAGCAGTGAATAAGTGTATAATAGGTTTATAAATGGAGAATTGCAAAGTTCTTCACTGATTGGCTGATGATGCAAACAAATACCACTTGGGTATGTTAACATTGCCTGTGAAAATTTAATCTTTTTTAATTTCTTTACTTTTTTTTGCTTAATTGTTAGATTACTTTTTATGAACTTAATTATAAAGGAACTTCATTCCTAAGGGATTCATTAATAGAGGTATAACTTTTCCAACTGTTACATGTTAGACTTATGGTACTTTGTAATAATTAAACTAGCGTATTTTATGACTCATTAGATGCACCACCATTTTAGCAGGGAGTATTTAGGAAAAAACTTCTGTGTTATTTCCTCCTGTGTCCATAGTTTTCTTAAAATAATGCTGTATACTGTACCAGAAAATGTGAGGAATAAATAAAAATAATCACCAATAAATAAGTTACAACAAAAAATACTGTATTGCCAAACCGGTAAATAAAAGTCAAATGAAAGTGTAGTACAATCTTCTTTGCATAAGCAGTCCTCGTTATTTGCAGCTAATTGGGATCAGAAAATGCCACTGATAACGATTCCACTTATAGTGGGGAATTAATCCCATAAGAAATAATGGAATTGGTCAAATTGGGACCTTGACATTGTACACGACACTCAAAAAAAATTCTGATATCTTTTAGCAATTATTTACCTTAGAAACATTTGTTAAACATTTGATAACACACAATTTTAAGAAGTTATTTAACGTCCTTAAAGTTCATTGGCGTCTATGTGTTGAGGCAACTTAGGTCATACCAGCGACCCGGTGGTCCATTGCAACCGTTGCTGGTACACACTCATTCCAGTGGTTCATTAAGACAAAATACTTATTGTAATGTTTTAAAAATAAATAATTAAAAATTATTAAATATTTTTTATTTACTTGGCTTGATTGGATGAAAGGGAGACATGACTAGGTGGAGTGTCCATTCCCACTCTTCTTTTGCCAAATCACTTTTAATTTTACTATAACTGGTGCACTTCTTTTTGAGCACTGCATCACCTTGTTTGGGTTGGGAACTAGTGGCTAAAAAAAATAAATGATTAATTCACCACAAAATGCACAACAAAGGCAGGAGTAAATACAATAATGTACTGGTCTGGACGAAACAAAATGGGAGACTAGCATGGGGACACTTGCATGCATGACACCAGCAAGAGGATGAAATTTCAAATGCTTCAATTAAAACTCAGTAGATTTTATTTGGGTGAAATGGCGCCATGGGGTGACTTCTCTTCCACCCCAGTGCCTTCTCTTCTCCCTACTACTCCACCCCCATTCTAATTCCCATCATCATCAACCAGGAGCCTTCTACATGCACACCTCAAAGTAAGTGTACTTTACTGCATTTATTTTCAGTTTGTATGTAATTTTCGGTGAGCTGGAACCAATTACCCATAAACCCATTGAAACAATGGTTTCGGTTAACGAATTTTTCAGTTAACGAGCAACCTTCTGGAATGAATTGTGCTCGTTAACCGAGGGACCACTGTAGTTATTTTCTGAGAACCAATGGGTAGAAGGAATAGAGCGGTGATACTCTTAGTTTACTTATTTAATATTTATTAACATAAGGAGTGAATAAGATGTTAATTAAGTACACTTAGACAAGACTGGACCACTTAAGTCTTACTTTACCATTCACAAAACAGAACTTCAATTACTTATTACATCATTACACAACTGTTGTATTATTTATTTGACAAATAAGATGG